AGTAATCTGGAAAGAAAAAAAATACTGATCTATTTTTTAGGACACTTAGTTTTCAATAGTACTGCAAACTCAGAAAATCTATACTGCCAAAAGCTAATATAATAAGGTAGAAATCCCATAAAGGGTTAAGGGTCAGTTATTTTCATAGTCAAAGCTGTGGTGGTGGCCAGAGTGGTAGGGGCCTACAGTGTAACATGAATTCTAATTGGTCTTAATAACAAAAACTCGGAGTCAGCTGTCGGGGTGAAAGCGGAAGGATTAGAGAAGCAGAGCGGCCAGCCACTAGACTCCCTCTACCAATGCTCAGACAAAAGGGGAGCTCCTGCCTTTTCCCATCTTATATTCTTCTCTCCACCCAGCCACTCCTGTTTCCCGTCTCCACCTCCCTAGTGCTGGAATCACCTTTGTGTGAGCTCTGCTTCTCTTTAATTTTGTGTAGCTCAGGGTGGCCTTGAACTAACATAGATCTGTCTCCTCTGTCTCCCTAAAGGGATATGCCATCACTGCCTGGCCTCTAGTGGCTTAGCTCTGCACTACAGGCAAGATTTATTTGTTAAAAAACAAAAGTATCACCACACTACAGACGACCTTTCCAAGGTTTGATTGTTAGCTGGTTCCCAGCTGTCCTTCTGCCAAGAGAAAAGTGACGGTGGGGAAAGGAGGATTTTTCTTTTCTCCCCCTTCCTTCAGCGGATCTCTGGTAGCTAACTTTTCCATGGCCATTTTGTACTCACAAAATATCTGACAGTCAATTCTCTATATTAAATCCCTTTTTGCTTTAAGGATCTGAAGTTTTTTCAATTCTCAAGAAAGACACGACAGATCCATCAACAAAGATAGAGAAGGACAAGCCATACTTACAGTGATATTGATAGTTTCCATTTTGAAAAGAGCCATGTTCTTGTCAGATCTGATTACTTCATCATTGTTTCTACTTGAGAGTGACTGATAATCATTCTAGCACAAGAACTGTCAGTTTCCCACTTTCTTATTTACATATATTTACTACCTAATAGGTTTTCAAGTCCAAATTTAGTACCAACCCAAGAAGCTGACAATGAGACCATAATGAACTGCTGCATGGCTACAATTTCTGCTCTTTTGCTCAAAATATCTGACTAGCAAAATATCTGCACGAAGGCACTGGAATGTCAGGATTGATGCGCACAGTGGACATTTCCTAGCAGCAAATGCAAGGTATTTAATTCTGATCTAAGTAGCGACAGAGTTGGGGTGTTCAGCTATGGTGTTTGCCCTACCATGGGCAAAAAAAAAAAAAGGCTATAGATTGAAAGTACTTCAATTATTATATTGTTTTAAATTTTATTATGTGACTTTTAAATTGTTTTGTTTGTTTGTTTTTGCTTTTGGAGATAGGGTTTCTCTGTGTAGCTTTGGAGCCTGTCCTGGAACTTGCTTTGTAGGCCAGTCTGGCATTAAAGGCATGCGCCACTAAATGAAAGGTTGTTCATTTTAAACCATGCTGATTTCTCAATATCTTAAAATAAATAAGTACAATATAAATAAGCACAGTATAAGAGCAATTTCTATAATCGTATTACACTGACATCACAAGGTTTTTAAAGCTATGCGGGCCCCTCCGCCCACTCTGATCCATTCCTATAGAAAACAATCACAAACACTCAAATGCTTTGTTTCTATAAAAACAAAGTCTCAATCCAAAATTATTAGATAAACTTATTACACTCATTTATATCATACTAATCCTAATAAAGGTATGGGACTTGGACTGAAATGTCACCTAATGTGAAGAGAATATTTAATGAAGACTTCAGAATACAATGGATTTGTACTAATTTTAGTAGTAAAGAGAGCACACTATCAAAGTATTTTAACATAAAACTCTAATGCCAGGCTGACTGTTAAAGTTACTAAGAAAATGACCTGGGCAGAGGTCTGAGCTGCCCCTACCAAAGCTCCAGCTTCAATCCTCCTAGAGGGGACTTGCCTTTCATCTTAGGACTAATGGTCTATGGCAGCACAGGGGGTATTTGCAATGGAATTAAGGGGAAAGTGGTGGTTGATACTACAAAAAGCTGTGCTCCCTACTTCAAAGGAAATGGTCACCACGCCCCAACTTGGGATCTAAGGAAGGCACAAGCAGAGAACAGGAAGAGGTGGCAGCTCAGGAAGGCAGGTCACCAGGGGATTCCCTCTCAGGCACAGCAAACATCTGCTCCCAGGGAAGACATCTCTGACAGGGCTAGCTAGCTACAGACACTCTTCCCTAGTGTTCATCCCCTTCCTACTTAAAGGGAGAACTTGACTGACCAATATAGCATTCCAGATAGCATATCCTCACTGTCACAATCCCAACAACCTAAAAGATTTGTGAAGAAAACAGGGTAAATTCACATTAAATCCTACTCTCTAAAACTAATAACCTAAAATATTTAACCAATCCTCATTATTTCTAATGTTTTTCTTTCTAAAGCAACAGACAGAACCATTACTGTATATACATCTTGTCTTACTATTATAAATTTTAGACATAAGACTGCCAGGCCCAACACACACACACACACACACACACACACACACACACTCAAAATTCCCTCTAGAAAGTATCTATCTCTTTGTAACCCGGGGGAAGTGTAAGCTGTCTTGCCTTTCCGGTGATAAAAATGTACTATGAGAGGAGGTCAGAGGCAGATTCTGGACCCACAGGAAGAACACATCGACGAAGAAGAGAGGCAAAAATAACACAGTCCTGTCACATTACTTCCCTTTCTCATGTAGCCCTGGAAAGTTGCATGTGGAGTCCTGTAGAGTATGTTTTAGACATGTACAGACAGTACACATCGTATCGCCTAGGACTCTAAGCTATACTCATGTTTGTGCAAGCACATTCTACGGAGCTAACACAACAAAATCACCAACTGATATATGTTTAGAATTTAGTTCACTCTAACACCATACATGACAATATTCTAAGAACAGAAAAACTAGAAAAAAAAACCAGAACAAAGAAACTGCCTTTCATCTACTATCTCGATCAACAGACAACAGCAAAACGCTCTCTCAGATTACCTAACACTGCCGACTCCACTTAGCTTCCTGGTCCTCTTCTTTACTGTACCTTCCCCTCAAAGTATAACCGGGGGCTACACAGTTGAACTGCTGCCTGCTTCCTTTCATTCAGTCAGTATAGTGAACTGTAACGAGTGAGTGGATCTGAGTTTTCTGTCCACTGAAGTCGTTTGTTTCATCCTGAAAGCGTTTGCCATCTCGTACAAATAAGCAAAGGAACTCGGATACCATTCTGTGGCATGGAGTAACAAATCAAGTCTGGGTGTTCAAGGCCCATTTTATACAGGCTTTATTTTTTTCCTAAACTTAGACCAAAAGGAAAGTAGCCAACAGCACAGGAGATTCAATCTATTAACTGCTATTTAGACTTCCTTTTACCTTCAAGAATCCATCACATTCTTGGGCTCCTTTAGCACTGTTAACAATCTACAGGAACATACAAAGTAGCTAAAGCATTTGGCTCCTATCTTAGTAGGGGTTTCTAAAGCTGTGACAAAACACCATGATCCTAAGCAATTTGAGGGAAGAAGAAGGTTTATTTCCTCTTACAACTTCCAAGGATCTCAGGGCAGGCACTGGATGTGAGAACTGATGAGGAGGCCATGGCGGAATGGTACTCACTGCCTTGCTCGGCTTGCTTTCTTTTTTTTTGAGGCAGGGTTTCTCAGTGTAGCCTTGGCTGTCCTGGAACTCAGTCTGTACACCAGGTTGGCCTCGAACTCACAGAGGTCTGCAGAGTGCTGGGAGGTGCTGGTGTGCGCCCCCCCCCCCCAGCTCAGCCTGCCTTCTTATAGCACTCAGGACCACCAGCATAGGGATGGCACTGCCCACAATGGGCCGGGCCCTCCCATATCAATTATCAATCAAGAAAATGTACCACAGACATGCCCATAGGCAAATCTAGGGGAGGCATTTTCTCAAATGAAGCTCCTGCTTCCCAACAGACCCGAGCTTGTATGAAGTTGACATAAAATTAGCCAGCACAGCTCCTAAGTCAGACTGCTTGAGGTGGTCAGTTTCACTCATGCATGTAATAGTAGTTACACTTCAAAAGATAATAGTAATGAAGACGACAAGCCATTTTTTAAAGAAGAACTCACAAAAGTAACGGACATATAAAGTGTTAGGTTAGGTTAAAGACAATTTACATCTCTAGCATACATTGTTCTAGACATACACTTCAATAGAAAGGTTTAAGAACAGTGGCAGTCCTCATTTTGCATAGGAGTGAAGGACCATAAAAATGCCTGTGGCACCTGAAATGAAGCAAAGCGAACTTAATAAATAACAATGACAAATATCACTGCTCCAGAATCCTTAAGATTGTTAAGTAATTTTTAAAAAAATGACAGATAGTTGTGCACAGTTAGGTATGATCTTTGAAAATTTGTCAGCATATCAAAACTGGTATGGTAAACCATATAGATACAGAAAACAAAATTAGTACATTTATGAAGTATGTTGTGATTAGAAACATTGAGAATAAAGTATTATCTGTCTGTAAAACCCAATCAAGAGCAATTTAGATAGTGGCTCCCTTCTGCCATGTAGCTCCGGATACAGAATAAACACCTTTCTATGCTTAGCCATGGTCACAGTAAGCTGCACAGCTGGCTAAGAATGTGTGACCCTCAGAACAACAAGGACACTGATGAAAGTCACACAGAACTTACATTGTACTGATGGTTAGCGACAGGCTTGTAATTGGTAGTTACGACTTTGTCCAGCTGTTGGGATAGCCTTACAGGTTTGGAGGACTCTTCGATTTGCAATCTGAAAAAGAGAAGGCACCATTAACACACTGCTTAGAAGAGTGGGTCCTGTAGAGTCATGTCAATTACTAATAACATGTAAGCAAGTAAGTCAGAATCTCACAGCAGCTTTCCCACAATACACAGTAACACAGACAACTCCAATGTAAAACCTAGTACCATAAGCTAAACATACAAGTTATGTATGTCATTACAGTACTGAATGTAGTTCCGAAACTGTGATGCATGGTAAACCAAACTCTTCAAGCAAAACAAATCGTCTTAAATGATTGCTTAAAATTCATCAAGTGATTAATCCAAAGCTTCCGTTATCCTGACAAGAAATAAAGGTGAGTCAAACAAACAAACAAACAAACAAACACCAAGCCAAACCAAAAAAGGCACTCACTGCCCAGTCACTAGTGACTTCCTGATCAGTAGCCACTGAGGCTCAAAACGTTTTTGTTCCCACAGAAGCCTCCACTGGACAGCACTGGCCGAGAGCGCTGCAGAACTCTATCTGAATTCAATGTAACCTGAAATACTGCCTTCAGGAAAAAAAAACCATACACACGATCCCACGTATATCGTGAAGATACTATTCGATGGGTGCCTGTATCTTTTTAAGCAGTAACTTTAGTATTTGTATTGTGTCCTCATTTGTATACTAAATTTGCTTCTTAAAAATGAATTCATTTGGTTTCTAAGCACAGTAAATCCAAAAACCTGGTTTAAGGTGGGAAAAGCACAGCTCACAAAGTGACTTTTCAAAGACACAAAGGTATCATGGGGCCTTCAGACTTTTCGTCATCAGGGCATCAGAACACAAAATGTAACACACTTCAGAAAACCACTGACCGGATCTGGCTAGCTTAGAATTGAAGAATAAGCATGGAATAAAAAGTATTTTTGGAAAAACACCTGGGCTTATCTCTTATGAATTCCACTGAGATAGCCACTGAAGAATGGAATGCAGTGAAGCCTTTAAGGAATTAATGGATGCAATGGATACCAAGAAAAAGAGAACCAGGCTAGGAAACAGTCTGACTGTTGTAGGTTTCATTTAAAAAATTTATTTTTATGTATGCATGCTCTCCCCTCTCCCCCATCCCTGTGTGTGACATGTATAAAGGGAGCCCAAGGAAGCCGAGAGAGGGTGTTGGATTGTATGGGCTGGAGTCTGAAGTGGTTGTGAGCAGCACAGTATGGTGCTGGGAACTGCACTCAGGTGCCCTAGAAGAGCAGTATGTTTGTAACTGCTGAGCCATTTGTCCAGTCTCAGTTACTTACTTTTTAAATGTGAAGTACATGAAAGATGGGAACAGATCAAAATTAGTACATTTGAAGATTTTTTGTTGTTGTTGAGCTTTCTCAAATCTTTACAATAAACACCCATGACTTTTATAACCAGAAGAAAAATGGAAAGCAAGTACCCCATTTGGTTAGAGGCTAGGGATACAACACAAAGGCTCAATCACTAAGTAAATGCTGTCTGTGGTCAGTTAGCAGCAGTCCTGAGGACAAGGCAGGCAGCCTTCAGTCAGCTCACAGTGACGTGGAGGAGAGCGACTACAAGGTTTACGAGGGTGAGCTGGCACACTGCTGCTCAGGGTCAGTGTGAAGGCAAAAAGATACAGCGACTCTTCTAAGCAAAGCAACAGAAATGTTCACGAAGTATAGGAACTAGGCATGTCTAACTCCTTGGCAAAATAAAACAGGCACAATTAAGTGGCAGTCCCGTGTGTTCTGACTGTAGCCCCCCACCCCCAGGCACTCAGCTCACAGGCCTCTACAGGTGGAAATCCCAGTGTGATGCGGGAGAATTGTCTGTATTCTGTCAATCATATTTTAATAAAACGCTGATTGGCCAGGCAGGCAGTATAGGTGGGAAAACCAGACAGGAAGTAGAGGTGATGCAATGAGAACAGGAGAATTCTGGGAAGCAAGGAGGTTCCTCCGCCATTCCTGTGCAGACCACCGAAGAGGCAACATGTAAGCTGTCACACTGAGAAAGGTACTGAGCCCGTGTGGCTAAAATAGATCAGAATAATGGGTTAAGATAAGTCATAGGAACTAATAAGTAGCCTGACCAAATGGGCCAATCAGTTTATAACCTTATGGAGTCCTGTGTGTGATTTTCTTTGTTGCTTGCCGGCTGTTGGGGTACCAGAAGGGACAGAAACCCCAACAAGCCGGCCCTCATGTTACATATGGCGCCCCACGTTGGGCGTCAATTATCAGCGAATCAATCCCACACCAGTTATGTTTTAAGGGGTTATTTATTTTGGGGGGTAAAATTTACATACACCATAAACCGTCAGGAAGGGAGCCTAGTCGCTGGAGCAGGAGCCGGGAGCAGGAGCCAGGACCAAGCACCGGAACCAAGAGAGCCTGATCCGGATCTGCTTCTCTTTTTAAAAGAGAAATATACCACGCCCCAGTGGGCTGGTATTTCAGCAGCTATTGGCTGACGGAGCGGAAGTCGCTCCCTGCTGCACTGTGGGCTCATATTTCAGCGACTATTGGTTGAGGCAGCGGAAGTTACTCCCACAACACCAGTGCTGCCATCAGACCACCTTCCCTGCTTCAAGTACCTCCCTCCATGACTCTTCTGGAGACATCGTGGAGGAGGCGGCAGCACTAACTGCTTCTCTTGCCCCCATCAGTCGCTCCCATCAGCCCACATCTGAAGTCCAGTTTCAGTGAGTTTAGGCGAGCACTCGACAGTCGCACCCTGGATTTATCTGTAGCCTCTGCACTCTGACTCATGGTCAAGAGGCACACTTTCCTTTCAACTCTGAAAGTCAATTTCATCATCCGAGAGTTGTGTCACGTTTATTCTCAAAGCATCAAATATTTTAAATAAAGGAGCACACTGTCGTTTTCTTTTAAATCAAGAGCTCACACAAAAATTTAACCTTTCTATTATATACTAAAAAAGTCAATTCCCAGAGTTTTGTTTTAATTAAAAGAGGACATCCTATGACTCAAAATTCAAAAGGTTAATCTATGGACTGAAAACACAACACATTTCAAAAGAACTTAATCTTAAAATATTTTCATTAACCATGAATAGTTTAAAATAGTTTAACAGGCTTTTTTATTTAACGCTAAATAATTCATTTAGCATTATCTCATGATGTGCCAGAGCAATTTGCAACTCTATTTTATTATTAACAATGCTCTAAATTAAACACTGCTGACTTCACCACACTTTCAACATCAAAATAAGGATTATCTGGGTTTTTCAATACAATATAAATTTGAAACTACTCACTTCATACAGCCAACTACAGACAGGTGTTAGGCTGAATGAGGAGAAAGATAAAAGCTTCGGTGTCCTGATGTGCCTAAGACTAGGTCTTACCTTTTTCAGAACACTAAAAACCACAGTGTTATTTCCAAGAAACTGTAATCAGGAATATAATGTTCTTTATTTTGCTTTTCTGAAGATCTGCCTGGCCTCAAACTCACAAAGATCCACCTGGGAAGTCCTGAGAGCTGAGATTCAAGATGTGTGTCATCATGCTTGGCATAGGAAATACAGTATTATTGAGCACCTTTGTTTTATAAACCACTTAACAGGTACTTGGTATGAATTCCTAATGCCACTACAGCTTTGGTTGCCAGCGCCCATAGGCAGCTAATAACCACCTGTGACGCCACTCTAGTGAGTCTGAAACCCTCTGGCCGCCACTGGAACTTGTACTAATGTACAGACACCCACATACTGGTACTTACACCTAATTCAGAACAAAACCCCAAATAACAACAAAACCTGTTTCTTTGACTGCTATTTACAACAATGTTATCATTCTACTGTGGTAGATTGAAAATGGTCCCCATAGGCTCATAGGAAGTAGTACTATTAGGAGTATGTATCTCTTCCTTCCTGCTGCCTGAGAATCCGATGTAGAACTCTCAGACCCTATCCAGCATCATGTAAGCTTGCTCCACCATGCTTCCCGCCATGACAAAAATGGACTAAACCTCTGACCTGTGAGTCAGCCCCTGATTAAATGCTTTGCTTTACAAGGGCAGTCGTGGTCATAGTGTCTCTTCTTAGAAATAGGACACTGACAAAGACAGTTACCATAGCCTAGCTCTCCGGGTTCAGCAATTCACCTACATGTATACTGAAATGAAAAAGTCAATTTAGTTACAGTTTTGGCCAAAGCCAGAAGAGAGAAATCTGTCTGTTCTGCCTGTAGCAGAGTTCCAATTTCTATAGAAGATGAAACAAAAGTCAGGACTAGGCATGTGGAACCGAACTGGGGATCCTGTGCAAGACCTTTAGTTCCTAAAGGAACCCTAAGACCACAGGCCCATTAACAGGGGTGGGTGGGTGATGGGAGACTGGGGAGGCTCCTGTACTATGCACAGGAAAGTATATTGTCTGCATTAGGCCCTATTGATTATGGTAAAGCTTAAGGACACAGAATACAGCCAAATTTAAAAACTTATTTTGAAGACACATTTAACAGAAACTGGAACATAACTGAATGGGGGCACATAAGGGGAAGAGTACCACCACTAAGATCATGGAACTCAGACTTCAGGCTTGAGTAACTCCAACCACGTTACTGTAAAACATTCCCAAGGAGTCACTGTATTTTACTAGAAACCTAAGATCTTTAAATTCTAACCTTGAAAAAAACCACTCTAGCTGAAAGTTCAGAGAACTGAAAAACTGAAACTTTGAACTTTGAACGATCAGAACAGGAAACAAGCACCTCATATCAGGAACAACCTATTTCTCTGGACAACAACTAACAACTACTATCACCATGGAGCTTAGGCTACATAAAATTATTTCACCTTGCTACTACTTAATGGGAACAGTCACCATCATCTCACTAAATTAGGGGTCTTCCTAAGATTAATGAGATCCTATGTCGAACATTTCTTCCCAGAAAGAAAATGCTCGGTCTATGTGACCTAAGAGCACCGACAGAATGACAAGGGAAACCAACATGGCAGACATGTAAAGTTCTTCCTCCATGCTAAAAACTGGTAAGAGCA